ATGATACAGCTCTAAAAATGTATTTGAAGACCTGAGAAAATCAATGTTATTATTTTGTAAAGTAGCCTTTATTTATTTATTATAGAGGTCCAACGTTTCCTGTAGTTTTTCACCAGGATTGCACACAATGCAGGAGGGATTTTGGCCCACTCCTCCACACAGATCTTCTCTAGATCAATCAAGTTTCTGGGCTGTCGCTGAGAAACACATAGTTTAAACTCCCTCCAAAGATTCTCCTTTGGATTTACAGTAGGTCTGGACATTGGCTACAAAACATCAGAACCTTGATATGCTTCTTTCAGAGCCACTTGTTGGTTATCCTGGCTCTGTGTTTCGGGTTATTGTCATGTTGGAAGACGAAGACTCAACCCATCTTCAATGTGCTAACTGAGGGAAGTAGGTTGTTCCCCGAAATCTCGTAATACGTGGCCCCGGTCATCCTCTCCTTAATACAGTGCAGTCACCCTGTCCCATGTGAAGAAAAACACCCCCATACTTCACATTAGGGATGGTGTTCTTGGGATGGTACCCATCATTGTTCTTCCTCCAAACATGGTTATTGGAATTATGATCAAAAACTTTTATTTGGTCTCACCTGACCACATGAATTTCTTCCAGGAGTCCTCTGGATTATCCAAATGTTTATCGACAGACTTAAGACGGGCCTTGACATGACTTGTGCTGGTTTAAGAAGCCGTGCTATGCATGATTTCAATCCACGACGTCTTGTGTATTGACTTCGGTAACCTTGGAAAATGTAGTCCCAGCTCTTTTCAGGTCATTGAACAGCTCCTCACATGTAGATTTGGGCTCAGTTCTAACCTTTAGGATCATTGAGACCCCACAAAGTGAGATCTTGCTTGGAGCCCCAGTCAGAGGGAGATTGACAGTCATGCTTAGCTTCTTACATTTTGTAATGATTGCTCCAACAGTGGACCTTTTTTCACTAAACTTCTTTGCAATTTCCCCATAGCCCTTTCCAGCCTTATGGAAATGTACAATTTTGTCTATAGTGTATTTGGTCAGAGTTGGTCTTGGCGATGTTAGTAGTTGGATTCTTACTGATTGTATCAGGTGGACAGGTATCGTTATGCAGCTAACGACACCCAACAGGTGCATCTAAATTAGGATAATAAAAAGAGTGGAGCTGGACATGAAGGGGACTGGTGGTCGTTTATGAAAACCGTTTTTTTGCCGGGTTGGTGGATGGAACAAACTTGCAAGTCAGGTAGATGAGGATGAGGAAGGCTGGTCAACATTCTCAAATGGGAAAAAGAGAGATAGAGGAGGTAAAAGGGGAGAAAGGTGGTTTGAGAATTGAGGAAATAAACTGGAATTAGAAGAAAGCAGTACAGATGAAGAAAGAGCTGTGCACAGGAAGATTGTCAGAGAGGGGAGAGAAATTAAATTTTGATTCAGTGCTGAGGAACAACAGTCATTTGAGCCCCATTTTAATCTCCAGAGAAATATATAAATAAATTGAAACTTGCTGTTGATTTGCAAAAATGAGGAGCAAAGAAACTAAGCATTTGATGTTGATCACCTAGGAAAAGGAGGGGGCGTAGGTAAATGTCAGAGGAGAGAATAAAACAGTGAAAGGAGTAATAACAGGAATGCTGCTTTATCAGGATTTAGATCGATTAACCATTAACATTTTGTGAGGCAAGATAAACAAGATGTAGGCTACATTCACACAGCAGCCTGAAGTGACCCAAATCTGATTTTTTTTTTGCCCATATATGACCTGTATCTCATCTTTTCATGGCAGTCTGATCCAATTTTTTTTTCAATGTGACCAGAACACTTGGCTGAGTTCTGAATCCTATTTGAATCTGATCTTTTCAAATGCGACCTGTGTGTCAACGGCCATATTGCATTCACCCGACCTGAATGTCATTAATACTCACCAAAGGTCCCTATTCTGCGTCTCGCTATGCAGAAGCCGTGGAAAAAAAACAAAAACCACAGTCTTTAATTTTAACCAACTTGAAAAGATTGAGTTTTTAAGGTTGGGAAAGATCGCTAGATGAGCTCCAGCACTACTCTCCATGTTTACTTCCGTAAACAAAGAGCACACTTGCTTGTGAAGTCATTGCGTCCTCTACAGTGCATGTGGGACACTTAAGCTGTATGAATGCAGTTCACACAGGAGATCACATACAAGTCGCATATATTAGGTAATGTGAACATCCACCCAAAAGAATCACATTTCACACCAAAATAGGAATTGAGCATTAAGGCCTGCAGTGTGAACGTGGCCATAAATATTTGGTGGAAAGCACGTCATTGCTGATGAAATATTCAGAGTCAGTTCTACCAGAAAGACTTAAAATATGTTACATGAGTTTCCCAGTTAGGCCATTTATTCGACCTCTACTCAGGTGCTACAGGTGTCAGTGCTATGGCCATGTGGCTGCACTTTGCAGCAAAGGTGTTCAAAATGCAGAGAAGAACACAGAATGGAGGAGTGCAGGGAAAAGGCTTAAAAAAGGTGCTGCTATTGTGGTAGCCAGCACGAAGTTAGCTATGGAGGATTGGATGTGAGAAAAAAAGCAGTGGAAATTTGATGCGTTAAAACAACAAAAACTATGAGTTACGCAGAAGCAGTGAGTGAGTTCAGGATAAAGGACAGGAGAAACGAATCATGCACAGAATCAGAATAAAGTAGAATTAGAAGAAACTCATTCTATTCATAGCATATGTCATCAACTACACAGACCAGGCCAAGCATAAGACAGAGAAAATCACGACCATTGCAAGAGGAGCTGAAATAAGTCAGGGGGGGACAGGAGCATCAGGTAACATTTAGGATATCGTTATTTATAAATAGTATTATCAGATAAAGATGGGGGATATTCGATTATTATATTTAGGATATAAAGTCAAACAGGTAAATTCCCAAGCTAGAATACTGGTCCATACCGGTAGCTGGTGGTAATTCATATTCAAGTTGTTTGCCAACTGCCATTAAATCTCAAAAAAAAGAAAAAAAGAAAAGATTTTGAAGACAGACTAACGGGTCTTTGAGGGGCAGAATTCTTGCTGATAGACAGGTGTTTAAATAGTTATATGGATGTACATCATACAAATAAATTGTTTTAAAAAAATCATATATTGTAATTTCTGATTTTTATTTTATTTTTTAGATTAAGTCTTTCACAATGGACATGCACCTATGATGACAATTTCAGACCCCCCATTATTTCGAAGTGGGAGAACTTGCAAAATAGCAGGGTTTTCAAATATGTATTTTCCTCACTGTATGTAATTGCACCCCTGATAAAATTGTATAGAAAAAAAAAAACATTGATCTGCCTCTCCAAACGTAAATGATAATATTGCAAGTCAAAATCTTTTTCTATTTTTTTATTTGGTTGGGACAGTGTATGTAAATGGACATACATGAAAGAAAAAACATCAATGTAAACACGGTAGATAAAAGCCAAAGGCTAATTTCCATCTGTTGTCCCAAATGGTAGGGTCACACATGAGTCAGTGACAGTTATGCAGATAAAACAATACCATATCAACCATATTAAATATTCTCCACAATTGAAAACTTTAGGCATTGCACATCGCCCATAATGGCACACTTCCTGCAAATTGCACATATCAGACATTGCACCGTATCCATAGTTGCAATGTTCTCATTACAATTAAATCCACACATTTAAATCATGTGCATGACAAACCTACTCACACTTCCACACACATACACAGAATTATATCCTGGTAGAAAAATAATTAAAATCAATATAAAATCTGATCACCTTATTGCAGTTTGCAATTAATTTAAATTGTTTAATTTAGATCTCTTGTGCTCATGTTTTAAAATATAAAGGATATTGGAGCTTGAATGGGGTAGCCAGATGGTTTGCAGCAGATGTAAAATTTCCCTTATTTTCAAATCCACAGACAGACTCAATCAATCAATCAATCAATCAATCAATCAATCAATCAATCAATCAATCAATCAATCAATCAATCAATCCCAAGAGTAGTTTTATACTACCCAGGCCAGGGATGCCATAAATCTGTGAAAGAGAACACAGATCAGGTGTGGCCAATCAGACTGTAACACTGCACATTGCCCATCCCTACTCTAAAAGGGGGAACAGGTTGGTCGCAGCATCATGCTGTATATATATTTTTCTTGAGAACCTTTCTCAAGAAACACTGAAACCAGTCAGCGTTTTTGGAGCCAAACCTTAAACTTTGAACTGATACAGTGTTGAGAACATATTAACTACTCTACATTTATTACATTTTGTAAAAAAAAAAAAAAAAAAGAAAAGAAACAGATTACTGATGATTTAATTATTTCGCTTCAATTAAACAAATTAAACCTAACAAATGAGTCGAAAATAAGAGGAAACAATAACTTCCTGTCAATGAGCAAAAGAATTTAGTGTTTTTTTTTTCTCTTTTTTTTTCACTTTTTAAGAGAAAAACAATTGATCCTCCACTAGATGGCAACAAATACAACAAAACCACAGTGTATACTACTCTGAGCCGTGGCCTTATGAAATGGCGTCCTGACGAGATGGTGCCGAAGTAGTTTCCCTCGCCACCACTAGTCGCAACAAATATAACCTGCAACTAAGTTTATTCTCATTTTGATTAATTCTGTTACAAGAAAGTAAACAAGCTATTTCTTTAGCTGGAGGTTTAACACGAGTGTGTTTTTCATATATTTAGAGAGCATATACGGGCATATGAGTGTCCATTGTAACCGAAAACAGCATTCATGTAAAAAGCACTGGAAACTTTTGCGTACAGCTGAGTTACGCCAAATAATAGGCGCTATGTTTACGCCTTTCCTCGCTCCACCGCCCAGCTCAACGTTACTGGTGGAAGGGTTTACTGGAAATGTAGTCTTTACGTCGTTTTCCTTTAGCGGGACACTTGTTGCGGCGAACTCATTTCCCAGAATTCAATGCGTTGTTGTTAGCGACCCCATCTTGTTCCCTCCTCATGAATATATATCAGCCAGTATATGCGTAGGAGGTCTTCCGACGCATATTTCATATGCTAGTACTGTACTTTAGGAGGCACGGTACAGTCACGTCTCCGCCCAGCTCTGCCCCCTTAGAGCCCTGTCTCTTCCCAGCGAATATACTCGGGTACAATGTTTTTTTTTTTTTTTTTTTTGGAGCTACGGAGAGCACTTCGACGGGGGAAAGAAGACAAGAAGTGAATGACAACTAAGGGCATAACTTGGCAACGCCGCCTACTTGGTGGACATTTATCACGCTGGGGGACATTTTAAGGCTTTTAAATGTAGGGGTTCTCAGGAATAACCCACTGCGCACCGCTATTTATTAAGAGTGGGGGTACTTTTCCTCTGCCTGCGATGGAAAGTGTGCAGGATGCACCGTCAGACGGAGGCGCAACGAAGTTAATGAAGAAGCCCGGCGGACCGCCAGTCGCCCGGGGGATACCAGCGGATGATGGCGGTGGACGGTCGGCGCCCTCCCGCGCTGAAACGAAGAACGGTCTGTCTCATTCCGCCTCCTTGCCGGCGAATAGTGCGTCAAACCGGGCCGCGGCGTCTAACGGCCGGGGCTCTTCCAGCAACTCCAGCTCCCTCCTGTTGAGACGGAGGCGCTTAAAGAGGAACCTCTCCGCCTCAGCTGCGGCAACAGCAGCAGCGACTACCGCCAGCTCAGCTGTCACCGCGAAGATGAGTTCGGCCCTGTCCACAGCGTCTCTTCACAGCCGGAGTCTGGATAGGAAGACTCTGCTGAAGCACCGGCTCAACCTGCAGCTGCAGCCCGCGGACCGCGAGTGGGTCAGAGCGGATCTGCACCGCGGCTGCATCCACGTCCACGACAGGCTGACCTCCTCATATCCCAGGCCGGTCCTATGCACTATGGACAACACAGCCGGCGAGGTGGCGCTCCGTTTGAGTAAACTCTGCACCAAGTCGAGCTGCGTTATACGCAATTTCTGTAAAGATAGCTCAAAGACTGACCAAAATGGCAACTGCAAAGTGAAATGCGATTTTAATGACGATCCATGTCAAACGAAAGATGGCTCACTACTAAAATCCAACCTGCAGACTTCTTTGGAATCCACAGAGGTGGGTGGGCATCCTGGTGACAGGTTAAGGCTCCTGCTTATGGAGAATGCAGATGACAGGGAGAAGCAACAGGAAGTTGATGGAAAACTTTTCACCCCAGAATCAGAGTCACAAGACAACATAACCTGCTCCCTATCAGATCTAAATTCCAATATGGACATCCCAAACGACGAGGATTCGGAGCACAGAAATGGGGTGGACAGCTATGGATTAAACTCTGGCTCAGATGTGGAGAGCAGTGCATTTGATGATCTAAGTTCAGGGGCCCGGCTTAGTGAGCACAGAGACTCCTTGAGTGATGACATGATCCTGGGAACAGAAGCATCCATCCTCAGCCCTTCTTTCGACAGTGCCACAGAGGGCAATGATATGTATGGAAGTTCATCAGATGAGCTGGAGCTTGACTGTCCAGTGTCTGGCTCAGACCTGGACCTAAACAACAGCATCTCAGATGGTACAGGAAGGTACAAGCAATGCAGCATGGGACATTTAAATGAGAGGACAAAAAATATGGGGTCTGCCAGCAGACATAACCCACACAGTTTGGGCAGCCTGCCGCCCAGCAGTAGCGCTGACTCCTTTTCAAGACTCTGCTCCACAGATATCATAGCTGACATTCAAGACTGTGGTCAAGGTGCTGTAAAACAGGAGATGACAGCACTCCAAAATGGAGATTCTAGTGATTCCAGTCCCACACTGTATGTTCAGCTGCACGGTGAGGCTGTGAGGAGGCTTGGTCCTGATGAGAGGCCCCTGCAGATACAGAATGAATTTCTGTTTAAGCTTGGATTTAAGGACCCTTGGAGAGTTCAAGAGGAAGGGCTCAACACAGAAATTGGCTCCCTGTTACGTTTTTATGCAGGTAACTTTTTTTTTTCCAAGTCATGTTTTTGCTCATCTCAGAGGCCTATTGAGGATGATTGTTTTTTTTTCTTAATGGTGTTTTTACTTGTATCAGTCAAATGCAGGTGCACATTATGATGATTTCTCTGCACGGCTCAGGTTGGCATATTGCTTGATGGATTAACCTGACAATGATAATAATAAAGTTGACTTTGCGTTGTAAAAATGTAACAAGTGGGATTGGGGTGCAAAGGTTGTTGGAACAAAGCTACCGTACTTTAGGGTCTTCCTCTGATTCCCCAGCTTATTTATTTTTTGGGTCTTCCGGCTTTAATTGTCTTCTTGCCCTGTAGCAGCCCACTTTGCTCCCATGGACATGCATGACACCGCCACAAAGCATTCAGCTCAACTTATGGTGCGCAGACATGAGGGGCCCTTTCCGGCTTTTGGCCCATTATCATCCTAATGAAAAGGCTGAATGCTTTTGTGGTTGGATGGAGAATAGCGGTGGGAGCGGTATGGCCTGGGAGGACCATAAACCCCCCTCTGTGGACTCTGTGAGTTTTAGTCATTGAGATGCTGCGCGGGGCCCTTCCCATTGGCATCCAGCATGGCTACTGTCACACTCACTGCCTGCCAAGTTGAGTTAACGTGCTTCCCCTCTAAAACTGAGGAAGATTCCCCCTCCCCCTCCTCCCAGCCACTTTCACCAATATTACAACTGTTTTGGGAAGAGGAGCTGGGTGGTGGAAATGTGCAAGTCTGGTAATGATGTTAGTTAAGCAGATGATGATCCTTAAATTTGACATATTCAGAGCTGTCAGCTCCAAATGTCTGTTTTTGAGTTAATTACCTTCAGTCTGTGCTGGTCGTCAAGATTTCGTGCTGGTTTACAGGAATATCTTCATTATGGCCTTGGTGCATGGTCACTAAAAGAATGAATCTTATGGGCTCTGGTTGGAAGATCAAACAATTCAGCAGGCAAAACAAGGCTAAATGCCCATTTGCCTCTACATCCCATGTGAGGCAGCTTAATAACGGTCACCTGAGTCAGCCTCCAGCTACACTGCACCTGGGAGAACAGCTCTAAACCCAGGCTGTTATGTCTGTAAGCCTAACTCCACAGCACATCTGAAAGGAAAATAAAATGGCCCTTCCTGTGAAGTGAAAGAAAGGGCTGATGCCCTTGTGACATTTTCATATGCAAGCAGCTCATGAACATGTACCATTTCTTATTGCAGCTAAAGCATGTAAGGAATGTACGCTGGCTTCTCTAGAATGTTAGGCATGTCTGCTGAGCAGGAATTGAAGGGGATTTTGGAGGCGGGGATGGAAGAAGGGAATAGTATGCAGGCCCATGTTTTGTTTGTTTTGAATAGTTCTGCACAGATACGGAAGAGCCTTGGCTGACAGCACAGCTAACACAACCGTAGGTCCCCTGTCACTCCAAAGGGCTTTTTTGTCTGCCGAGAGACCTTTGATACAGGAAGTCCAACATACAGAATTTGTGTTATTGCTCAGTAGTTCAACTACAGTGCTTTGCAGATTTTATTGGTACAAAAGATAAAGCTATTTGTAAGGCAGAATGCTGTTATGTTGCTGATATGAGTGACATATAAAGCAGTCCTCATGATTAGGTCAGCAGTACAATGATTTGGAGAGCTTGTTAAATTAAGCAGTTGCCATGGTGCCTCCTGCCAGGTCATCTGGGCTATCCAAAGACCAGTTTTACTTAGAAGAGGTCAGGGCATGCTTGGAATAAACGGATTCTGCAGAGGCCAGATGATAAAACACTTTGCCCCTCACACACACGCACACATGTACAGAAGGTTGGTCAGATCAAAGGGCTGCTCTCCTCTTTGGCAGGCCGATGAGGGATCCTTTCAGTACTGCCCACACAGGAGTCTCTTGTAATGCCTGGACAGCTTTATTATAGAAGAAAAAAAGTGAAAAAAAAAATGTCAAAAGAAAGCTTAGATAAAATGAAAGACTTTGATTAATTCTAGACGGATTAACAATGCAACAACTGTATAGTCTGTTCTTCTTTAGATTTGATTATTTTTTCTTTTACTACTCTTTAAATATCTTTAAACTAAGACCAGATGCCATGTTTAGTAAGAGAGAAGTTGTGTAAAACAGGGTTTTACTATTGAAAGACAAAATAACTATTAAGTTGACAATATACGCTGGCTTTGGGATCTTTTTAGATTTTGCTGTCATTAAGAACTAAATTCTGTGTTTAAATCTTATAGAATGTAGAATTTAAGCAGTGCTCTGCTTTTCAAAAGGTTACCAACATGTAAATACATTTAAGGATGGTCCTTGATAGTAAAGGTTAGAATCTTATTATCCTGAAATCTTTGCCAATATACCTTTTCTAACCTTCATGTTATGTCTTCAAAGTATTCTTCCCCCCTCTCTTTTCAGATCCTTCAATCATTTGCCAACATACCTTGGGATTATTATGAATAACATTTAAAAAAGTAGGCGATTCGTTTTTTTTAAATTGTCATTGAAACATCGTAAAGCAAAATTAGGTGCAGTTTTCCAGATAAAAATGCTCACATGTTCATTTATGAATTTATTTGAAGCAGCTGGATGATATCAAAAATTAAAACGCCTTATCAGCAGGATGGGGTCAGGGTTAATCAAGCCTAAAACTCTTTTAACTGGCTTTGGAATTCGACCAGAGTCATATAAATTTAATGAACAATGGCCTAGGCTGACCCAGAAACTTATCAGGTTTTAAATTCGCTGTGTACCAAAGCTGATGCCTAATTTGCAACGTGTCATATTTTTTTAGGCGGTTCCTAAGCTGCTTTCACAGTTTACCAACAACTTAAGCTTGATTTGAATAATGAATTTGTAGCAGAAAGTGGTAAAGCAGAGTGAAAGTTCTCACGAATCTTCCTTTATGAGAGATAAGTTTGCTTTCTAACCACTAAGATCTGTTAATAGCTCTGAAACTTAATACTAAAGATATCAGGGGCCATACTTGTGAAGACTGGTTTCTCCAAATAACATTTATAGTGCATTATTTTTATTACATAAAAAAATCATTTCAGTTGCCCTTGACTTGATATAAATAACACTTTAATACTTGTTGGCTCCCTGTTATTGAACCTCTTACTCAGCAAATCCTGACAATAACTCAAGTTTATTGCTTTGAGCCAACGCCAAACTCCACAGCAAACATTTCCAGGAGCATCTGGGTTAACTCCAAATGCATTTGTGAAAATACGAGTTTGATATCTAAGAGGAATCTAAACAGCATTTCTGTCAAGTTCTTCGCTGAAGGAACCAAGAAGAGATGAGCAGTAAACCTCTCCGTTTAAAATATACCTCCTTCTGTCTGTTACATGAAATGTCTGTTAAGGTTTTAGGTTTTGAATTAAGATGGAAATGATAACTGTAATAGATTTGCATCCCCAATGCCATTTATGCATGTAAATTCAAAGCAATTCAGTTCCCTTCATATTTTATAGGTGTGTAACTTGAACACAAATTCAAGATATCTTTGCGTAACTGTAGCAAATAGTAATATTTAACTCCTTAACATCTTATTGATTATTTTCAAAAATGGAAACAAATGAGACTTACTTGTGATAATCTTGGTAAAATATCATCCCCCGACATACATATTTCCCTCCTTTGCTCTGGGTTTGTGTGAGGAGGCAGCAGCCAGTGGCGTGATGACTTAAAAAGTCTCTGGAGGGTTTAAAGGCTTAATGAAGCTCCCAGCTTTCTCCAGCAGCCTCTGTGGCAGCTATTAAGCGAAGAACCGTTCACTCGGTCTTGTCTTTGCCACGCTGCTCCATTTGTACAGTCAGTGTGCCAGATTGCTCCCACACTCACACTTTTTTGCTTTTCTACAAAAAGAATTGTCAAGAACTGCCTTCCACTGACATTCCCTCATTTTGCATACATTTGAACATTTTTGGTATGTGACAAGTACTGACGGGTAACTTAACAAAATCTAATGTCCAGGTGTGACTTAAAACTAGATTGAATGGATTGGAATAATGAAGATGAATAATGAAAATAATGAAATGATGGAACCCTTTGTATGTGAGAAACTCTGCAAAGCTCATTTGCTGAATTAAAGCAGCCTTAATAGTACCCAAATAGTATTTTACAGTCATTTTCTAATTGTGTAATAAGATGTCACAGTTTTTGGAGCTTAAGTCTAATTTTTGTACCCATGTCACTGTGTCTTAGGGAAAGGTTTTCTCTCAGGAAAAGGAAGCAGAAGAAGCATTATTTTGTAAGAATAAATCCACTTGATTCTTCATGAGGATCTTTGTATCAAACTTGGAGAGTATAGCATTGTCAGCTTTTAGGTGTTAAAAATAGAGCTTTTTTTTTTGTCCAATCTATATTCCCTTCATGGGTGATGCCCTGTCCCTGCTCTACTCCCAGACCAATTCTTCCTTCCTTTCTCAATTTCTAATATGATCGATCCATTCCCTTCTCTATATCTTTTTTCACATCTCCGACTCTCTCAAACCATCTCAGATTCCATTTTAGTTTTTCCATGTCTGACTTTTTCTCTTGCTTATAGCTTTTTATTCCAAGATCTGCTGCTCATCCTCATCACACATTTTTTCTAAAATGGTGATAAAGCTATAAAATAACTAACTCAGTAAAAAGGGTCCAAAAGGTATTAGAAGGCAACAGTACAGTATTTCCACAAAATTGTCTAAAATATTCTAATTGTATGTACTTGGATCAGAAAAACACTCATACTTTCTTCTGTTGCTAGAATAATACTGATACATGAACTACTATTAGTGCTGTCTGTGATATTCTTTTTTATAACATAGATATAGATATTAGCAAAAGATGCAATTCCAAATATATTAATTTAAAATGTTCACTGCACTCAATATTAAGCCTTATTTTTATGCTCTTCGTGCACATGTAAAGCAAAGTTATTTAAGCTAATTCGATTGTCAGGCCATCAGCTCCCACAGCCAGTCTGTTACTTTACAGCCACCAGTAGTTTAAAATCAGCGCAGT